GTTTATTCTCTTTGAATACAACTTTGCAATACACTTAATTTCCACAGTCGCGCTATAACAAACGCTATAAATCACAACGAACGTCTCACGTGCTCGACTCAATAATACGTCTCTCTTTCTGACCGCAGTTCAATTACCCATTGTTCCCGTCACGTCGTGACCGTCTTATATGTACAAGAATACCGAAATCTAGTAACCTCCCGAGGCTTCATGAACGTTCTAGAAGCGCGTGACGTGTTACTAGCGTCACGTGACCTCCGCTGTCGTAACAATATGATTCGTAAACAATTACGTAAACAAACCTCTGATAAACTATCACTTTTAGAAATTTTAAAATTTAACATTCACGCTGTACTTAAACTATCTAAATCTTAATACTCGTGTTAAACTTAAATAGAAACAGTGGTGTATATCTAACATGCTCATATTTTCAACTCCTTCTAGTTTATGGTAACGTTTGGGTTCACCAATATAGGAGGCCTTACAGTATCTGTACATAGATAAGTAGATGAGATGTGGATAACGGGTAGTCGGCATACGATCTTTGTAGCGGAAAAAATGTTTTAGTCTGATATTAGGTTTAAAAATAACGTTTTAGCCAATTTGAGGGTAGTAAAAGTTGCACGTTTTTTCATCTGTTTGTTGATAAAGTAATTCTATCTTCCAAGATTTGTTAAGCAGGTGTATAAAGGAAGTTTGGGTACAGTAGGTATCCTAGGTGGCTTGACAAATATATTAGTTAAAATAAGTAAGTTATTTTCTTCATGAAATGCTCATAGTAGCCATTTCGAGAAAGAGCACTTTGCGTAAAAGAAATTTCCTTGTGAAGGGCTAGATAGCAAGAGGTAAGGTTGTAGACTCTAGTTAGTAGGCACAAAATAAAATTGAATTTGAAATAAGAGGGTATGAAACTGTCAAACTAGCTGATCTGGCTCTTACTGGTGGTCAGTTGAGGTCAGACAAAACAGAGATAGTGAAGGTCTTACGGGAAATTTTTGAGCAGAACTCCAGAGAGGATAAAGAGACAGCAATGGAATGATTCGCCCAGCTTGAGTTCTCTTGAGGACATGGAAGAAAGTCCCTACTGAGAGGAAAAGAGCAGCGAATGTGCAATCAATGTTTCAGAAACAATCAGCACTCCCACACTTCAATAGCTACTGAGGTGTGAGCACGCGTGAGAATGTCCCAAGTGCGAGGATGTCTGTCCTTCAACCAATTACCAAAACAAGATATAATATAAATCAATTTTCTTTAGTTTGAATCACATTTCTCTAATGAATAGAAATATAGTAATGCATTTTGACCATATCTTTAAATTAATATATATATTGGATATTATTTATATCAAATACACACTGTAGAAACGCACGATGTAGAATCTATTAGATTTGTTGTTGTTGTTGAACTTTGCGCAAAGCTACTCAAGACTAATCTGTGCTAGCGGTTCCTAATTCTGAAGCGATAGACTCGAGGTAAGGCGGCTAATCAACACTACCCACTGCTACACTGCTAACAGATAGTGGAATTGACAGTCACATTACAATGATCCCACGGATGAAAGGGCGAGCATATTTGGGGACGAGTTCCGATCTCGCGACACACAGATTGCAGTCTAGTAGTATTTCTTATGTAAAAGGTGCAAAGCAATACTTAGTGTCTAATTAAACAATAATAACACTATAAAAATGGTTGTTATTTCTCGAATTAAAATATCTATAATTACTTAATGTTAAAGAATGTGTGCTTGCAAATACTCTGGTTTGTTTGATTGGTTTTGAATTTCGCAAGGTTACACGAGGGCTATCTGCACTAGCCGTTCCTAATTTAAAAGTGATAGATTAGCGGGAAGGCAGCTAGTCAACACCATCTACCACCAACAGTTGTGATACCTTTTTACTGACAGAAAGTGAGATTGACTGTCACATCATAACGTCCCCACGACTAAAAGGCAGATTGCGATCAAACGAACTAACCACCAGATCGTGCTAGACCTAGACTTATTGTACATATATATATAAGTAGACGAGACGTGGACAACGGTAGTCGGCATACGATCTTTGAAGTGGAAAAAATGTTTTTAAAAAAATAACTTTTAATCGGTCTTTCTTCAGTAAATAAAATACTAAAAAAATTTTCAGTCAACTTTACACCATGTCTTGCCTCTTTTATTCTACCTACAACAACTCACTTCACCTGTCCTGCTGCATACAAGAACCATGAACCCCTCCTCCACTTCTTGTGAAGGTCAGTTTGAATTTATACTTGGATCCAAGGTAAGCTGAATGTGGTTGAAATTCATTTAGCAAACAAAAAGCTTAAAGGGTGAACTTTTGACTGGTAAGTTTTAGTCATATAAGTGACGTTACAAAGTGGTGAGAGTTACTTCTGTCACAAGTGTAGCATTTGTTTCTAAGTAAAATTTATAGGTAAATGAATTTATACTGTTGACTATTACCCCAACCATGTAAATAATTTATGTTGCTTTTATTTTATATTATTCTAATGAAAAATTAACGAAATCCTATAACAGATCTGGAAATCTATTAAAGTTTATTGAAAATCAATTATTCTGTCATTTGAATAAAAAATCCTTTTTTTTAGATAGATAAACGTCCTGGAAAGTGGAAACGCTCACTGTTTGCTAAAACTTTTAACACTACAAAAATAAGACTAATTGGACTAAAATTTCTAGTGCAATTCTTATGATTCCCTTTGAAAATAGTTAAATTATTAACTTTTATAACAGCTAGGACTTTCCTATTTACCGTGACTGTAATCATAGTTAACAACACTTTACATGCTTGACTAACCGTGAGTTCACCTCCACCTACATACAACTTCTACTAATTTAGGGAGTGGACCTTTGCAATTCGGTCAGATACTTTGTATTAACTTATTTCCGTCAAAAAGTTCTAAAAGTAGGTGCAGACGTTCTTCTGTTAAACTTTGTTGCGTAAATACGAGTTGAAAAATTGGTTGTAATTTATAAACAGAGTTAAAAAAACAACAAAAACAAATATGGTAAGATAAGGTAATTTGAAACATATGCGGAATAATACTTCCACAAATAAAACTATTCTGAGTGCAGGTACTGTGTGGAGTAGCGTCGGTCCTAGGTGTTATAGGCGTAGTCCAAGAGAGTAGATGTACAAGGTAAGCTGAATGTGGTTGAAATTTGTTTAGCAAACAAAAAGCTTAAAGGGTGAACTTTTGACTGCTAAGTTTTAGTCATATAAATGATGTTACAAAGTGGTGAACTTTGTAATCCCCGAGACACGTTTAGCATGAAAAGTATTGGTAATAATGATATTGTTGATAATTTTAATTCAAGCCCTGAGATTGAAATTTGAAAAGTAACTTGGCTAAACCTAGGTTTAGAAGTTCTTCTACTTCCAATACTTTAAATTTAATTTAACTTTAAGGTGTTGTCTTATGTTAATCAGTTGGAGTTCTATTAGCATTAGAATTAGTAACAGAATTACAAGAATTAGTAATAGTAAATTACTATTAAAAAACTCCAATTTTATAATTATGTAAAACTAGTAATAGTAGTACTAATAGTACTGATACTGTAATGTGTAAATCTAACAATGTAACGGTAACACTTCTGTTCAGTTTAAAGTTAAAGTTTAAGTTTAATAGTAGACAGAAACTGCTTCAGTAATGAAATTGAAAATCCATACGAAAAATAAATGGGTCAATTATTGCTGATAAAACCTTAATTAGAAGATGTATTTAAATTTTAAGTTAGTTTATGTTTCGGGCTACTACCATTCCTTAGAAGAAGCAATACCAATAGTAATAGTAGGCTATTAAAAGTTCAAAACTTTACAAGCCATGAATAGAACAGCATGAAATTTAAAATAATAAACTGTGCTATAGTAAATATGTAATATATATATATATATATATATATATATATATATAAAGTATAATATATTGTCGTACTGAGACTGCCGAGCACAGAGGGA